TGTGTAACGTGTACAATATGTGCTTAAAGTTGTATACAAAGATATAAGTAATTTACAAAAAGAACGCGCGGCAGGATCAAAACTACTGCGCAGCCGCACAAACCAGAGGCATAGCGACCCTTCCCGGCGCCCGGGGACAAACTTTTAATTTGGCGCGCCTCCCTCCCCCCTCGGGAGCAAATTTTCAATTTGCACCCCCCTCAAACTTTCCATTTGCAACCCCCCCCCCCTCAAAGTGCAAAAATGCAGCTAAAATGACATTTTAATTTGTTTTTAAAACCCATTTTGGCGCCCCCTAAGGTCGGCGTCCGGGGACATATGCCCCCCCCCCCCCACGCTACGCCTCTGGCACAAACAGCGCTGCTTATTTTAGATGGAACATTCTTGGTAGGGTAACTTGTTTTATAACACTTTTTCAAATAATTTACATTGTGTCTTTAAACCAGGGTTCTTTCAACAGAACCTAATGTATAAAGATAAATCTGATTCTGTATCTCTGTTATTTATACGTATGTTTATGTGACCGTGTATAGTAAAAAAAAAAAAACAACTCAAAAATTAAAAACTTTCACAGGCAGAGAAGATGACGTCACATGAAACTAAGAAGAAACAATCTTATCAATTCAGAAGAAAGGAAAGTTTTAAAGTTGAAAATCATGAAAAGTACTCAAATGAATGACGTAATCAGTTGTACATAAAAATAGAATTGATTGTCGAATGTCGAAAGGATATGCATTATAATAATAACATCATTGCTAAAAAAAATAATTTATAAACATTCGCGGTGTTTCTACAAGACTAGGCCTAATCTAAATTTATAGGCCTACTCACTATCTAGAATATCTAATCTTTTAGTAATGCCGATCTAACTACAGTCTACAGAAGGATCGTTCGATTTTATTCAGATAGAATCATTAATCTAATTATAGATCAATCAAAATATGAATTGTCTGATAGAATCTTCTATAAGCGCTCATGTCACGAGTGAGCCTTGCTGGTTGGGTATGGAAGAGGCTGGGCGAGGTCCAGTATGAGGGCCTATGGTGTATGGGACCTGCTATAGCCCCATCTCTGATAAAGAACGATTCTCCGACTTAAAATCTGCTGATTCTAAAGTTTTAACAGAGGAACAACGAGAATCTATCTTCTCAAAAATGAGTGAGTCATTGGTTATTCTAGGTTGGATGGTAGAAATTCTTTCTCCAGCATATATTTCTAAAAGTATGCTTAGAAAGGATACATATAACCTTAATGCACTCTCTTAACTGTGGTTTTGGATTAATAAAAATATATCTTGAACGAGGTGTTAAGTTACCGAGGTTTATGTAGATACAGTAGGTGATTCTTATAAATTCCAGACCAAGTTGAAGGATATTTTCCCCAACATTGATGTAACGGTGAGCAAGAAAGCGGATTCTCTATTTCCTATTGTTAGTGCTGCTAGTATATGCAGAGGCGTAGCGACCCTTCCCGGCGCCCGGGGACAAACTTTCAATTTGGCGCCCCCTTCGGGAGCGAATTTTCAATTTGCACCCCCCTCCCCCTCAAATTTTCGATTTGCACCCCCCTCAAACTTTCGATTTGCACCCCCCCCCCCCTCAAATTATTTATAATGCAAAAATGCAGCTAAAATAACATTTTAATTTGTTTTGACAACCCATTTTGGCGCCCCCTAAGGTCGGCGCCCGGGGACATATGTACCCCCATGCCCCCCCCCATCGCTACGCCTCTGAGTATATGTGCCAAGGTTGCTAGAGATCAAGCAGTTAAAAAACTGGGTATTTATGGAGCAGATCTCTTTAGAAGAGCCAGACTATGGCTCAGGTTATCCCGGAGCAGTGGCGTAGGCAGGGGGGGGGGGTAGACCCCTCGGTATATATATATAAAGTATGAGGGGGGTGCAAATCGAAAGTTTGGGGGGGGGGGGGTGGGGGTGCAAATCGAAAGCTTGTCCCCGGGTAAAAATTGGAACCCCTCCCCCCCCCCCCTTGAGACGATCCTGGCTACGCCACTGTCCTGGAGATCCGGAAAAAAAAATAATTCTGGAGCAAAGCTTTGACAACTGTTTTGGGTTCCATCATTTGTCCGTTTTAATTTGTCCGCTGCATCTTTGATCACGGAGAAGGATGGTGTTGCAGTTCGATGGGAAGATGGTGATGAGGATAATGATGAGGATGACGCAGAATCACAAGGGACGTCAACACTCTCTCATTTCTTCAAGAAGAAGGACAGCAAGCAGAGGCGTAGCGACCCTTCCCGGCGCCCGGGGACAAACTTTTCGATTTGCACCCCCCCTCGAGATTTCGATTTGCACCCCCCCCCCCCTCAAACTTTCGATTTGCATCCCCCTCAACCTTTCAATTTATTTTTCCAACCCATTTTGGCGCCCCCTATGGTCGGCGCCCGGGGACATATGTCCCCCCCCCCCCCCGCCCCCCCCCCCCCCCCCCTTCTCGCTACGCTACTGACAGCAAGCCAGAACTCACCCGACATCGCTTCTTTTCACATCAATAGCTGACCCATGTAACATCTATTTAAGCCAGGGGTCTCCAAACTTTTAAGTCCGAGGGCCGCATTAACTATAAAATTCAGTTCGGGGGCCAGTTTCTTCCAGGCATGTTTTTGATTTTTCTGAGCAAAGTTCCTCAGCCATCACCAACAAACGTTTTTTTCCGTGAACAAAATGATCTCCGCGGGCCGGATGAGAGGGCCTCGCGGGCCGCATCCGGCCCGCGGGCCGTATTTGGAGACCCCTGATTTTAAGCCATTAAATTTGTATTTACTTAAAAAAAAAATAGGAAAAAAAACTGTGAGAGGTCTGCTAACTATAGATAAAGATGTTGGAAAGGGAAGATTGTTTGATTTGATGTGTCTCATTGTAATCCACATAATTTTTCCGGTTGCTTAAAATTTGTATCATCTTAATTTTCTGAAATCCCAAATTTATTTCAGCTCTACTTAAAAGCCCAAACCCCCCTCAGCCTACCACGCCGAAGGAAAAAAAAATCCCTTGAATCATCATTTAATTACACATTTGCATTTTCAGGTTTAAAAAAAATTGTAATTAGACGTTTAGTATTAGATCTATGTATAAGTAAACCATCTTAAATTAATGAAAGTAAGAAAGTATTGCTATTGTAAATCTGTATCAGTCCCAGAGGCGTAGCGACCCTTCCCGGCGTCCGGGGACAAACTTTTCGATTTGCACCCCCCCCCCCCCCCCTCAAGATTTCGATTTGCATCCCCCCCCTCAAACTTTCGATTTGCAACCCCCCTCAACCTTTCAATTTATTTTTCCAACCCATTTTGGCGCCCCCTAAGGTCGGCGCCCGGGGACATATGCCCCCCCCCCCCCCCCCCCGCTACGCTACTGATCAGTCCTCACAAGTCGATGATGAAAACTGTAATACTAAAGCAAACATGCAAGGCAAACTGACGCTGTAAATTACATGTCTGAGGTGAAAAAAATATATATTTAGAAATACTATTTATAGGTCGGTTTCAAATGTTAATCTCTTAATATTTAATTAAAAAAAAATAGTAAAAAATTTAAAAAGTGTATAAAACATTTTATTGACAAGCTTATATGCATTTATAGGAGAAAAAAAAACGATTTTTCATAAAATATATAATGATAAACTTCAATTTAAATAACTAAAAAGAAATTAGTCTGTTAGAATTGGTCGAAATTTCGCAAGCCAGTTTTGATCCATGATGACAAAATACAAAAGCACGAGGAAGCAAGTAAAATAAAAACTTGTAAAAACTAAACGTTTTGTTGGTCCTAATATGAAACCCCGTCGTTAGCCCCACTCCTCAGTATACCAGGTAAAACTCAAACAACCCGGTGCAGCAGCTAATAGTGTCACCCCCCCCCCCCCCCCCCTAAATCGTGTCACCCGGTGCGGCAACTAATGGTGTCACCCCCCCCCCCCCCTAAATGATGTCACCCGGTGCGGTCCGCACCCCCCCCCCCCCCCTCGATACGCCCCTGGGCCTACCCCTCCAGTACGACTTGACAGCAGATATTGGCACCACTCCTTTGAGTTTTAAAACGATAAATACAATGTTCTTTAAAATATTGAAATCAAAGTGTAGTGATAATTATTTACAGAAAGGTATTTTATTTTTCTTCTTTTTACTGCAAGAATAAACTCTGTCAACATATAGTATTTTAATCAATTCCTATTACAATTGATTAAAAACAGCTTTCTAAAACGCGAAATAAACGCTAAAATTAGTTTTCTAACATTGCTTTTTTATAATGCAAAAGTGTGACGTCACAACAAAATGACCCCCCCCCCCTTCCTCATCACACACCGTCACAAAATTACGGACCCCCTCCGCCTACGAGTGTGACGTCAAAAGGAAAGGTTGTAAAAAGAATGAAAGTATTTTCAGCTATCTGGGATTTATAATAGTTTTAAACATTTTATTCATATTATTAAAAATAATTACCTTTTCCTATCCTGGGAGTCTTATATAACTAATGGAAACCAATCTGAGACCATTTTACCAACCACTCAAACTATCGTCATTTGTGTGTCAAAAAAGCAAACCCAGTTTTAAAAAATGGTCACAAAGTCAACCCCCCCCCCCCCCCCCCCCCCCCAAACCACCACCCCTATAAAAAACCGAACAAATCAAAACAGCAACCCTTATTTGATAAAAAAAAAATCCATTTTTTACCATACCAATTATTCGAAAGAATAAAAAAAATAACTCACCCCTCCCCTATATCCCAGATCAATAATTAATTAAAATCAAAGTCTAAACTCCTCTCCTACTTTGAGTGCGAGGCCATTAACGATCCCCCCCCCCCCTCCCCGCACACACACACACATGCATCGATATGAAAATTGTTTCGCATTAGTGTAGGATAACCTTTGACAGAGCGTTTGAAATGACTGCCTAATTTACTATTACGGAAACAAATTTTATAAAAATAGATTTCTAGATTCTAATCTTGGTTATAATCCGGTACTTAACGGCACGTTTTTGTATTTAGATAATGTTGTCACAGGGAAACAAGGCTCGCAGGTTCAGATTTGGTTATTTTATTTAACACACCTTTAATTATGTAAATATATTGAAGCATTTAAAATGTTAGTTTAGTTCTCTTTTACCTTAATATTTGATTGACCGTACTGTTTTTCACACGTTTCAAGCGTAATAAAGTTTTCTTCCTCCAAAGGGGTGAAATCCCAACCCTATTAGTTAGACTTTGGACTTTAAATTGTTTTGCAATACATTATTCTGCGACGAACAGTCAAAGGGAAACAACAATTAAATTATTATGAACAATCATGAAAGGTGTAAGTTGCCTTTTCTTGAATAGATTTATGTATTTTTATCCTTGTTTAAAAAACATTTTAAAACTCAAACCAAATCTAAAATCTCGATTTATAAAAAAGACTATATTTAAAATAAAAACAAAGTGTTCTAATTGTAATTGATTTAATATTAAAAATCTGCTGTTTATATATTTATAAAATATATAGAACTATAATTTATGAATAGTAATTATCAATAGGATAAATCTGTATTGTCTAGGACAGTCTAGGCCTAGATCTATATCATTTTAAATAGATCTAAAATCTGGTAAATAAAAAATTGAGATTGGCCAATGTAAAAATGTAGGCCCTATTGCAGGGGTCGGCAACCTTTTGAAGCTGAAGAGCCAAAAGTTATAATTTTCAAAATTTCCCAGGTTTTAAAGAGCCGCTAACATTTTTTTTATTTCAAATATTTTATTTTTTTATTAAGATTATTAGTATTTGTTCAAGGAGCTGAAGAGCCGCATCTTGATATCAAAAGAGCCGCAATATATATTGTAATATATATTTTATTATATTTATAGCCTTTACTAGTCTGATTCCACTTTATTTATTAATGGAAAAAAATGAAACTATATACTTAGATCGCTCACACTTTGATGAAGATGTATATTATTAAGTCTTTTTCTTTAAATAATTTGATTTTTAATTTATGATAAATTAACTAACAAATTGCTATTTTAACTTTTTCCTATATTTAAAATTTCAAACTTTTTCTTTATGTTTTAAATTTAGAAAATGCAGGAAGACTTGCATACACTTCTAAAAACAGAAATGACAAGAACGGTGAGCCACAAATTTGACCAAGTCATGGGGCATGAAGATGTGAAATCTATCTTAGAAAACAGCATCGACCAGCTAAGTAGACGACATTTATCAGCTCCATTACTGCTGTGTGGTCACCCTGGTGTGGGGAAATCTCTTTTACTCGAGGCAGCCGCCTTCAAACTAAAATTAAATCTCTTTGTTTTTAACCTGTATTGCCTTGGTTCAACAACCTACGGAGGTGCCACAAAGATTGATCGCTGCATTAAAACTGTATTCGAGGTGGCTGCAAGTTATGGTCCTAGTATTTTGTGTTTTGAGGATGTAGATGTGCTGAGTAAAGAGGAAGATATTTTTAGAATGGGGAAAGTTGAATTATTAAAATATCTTGATAGTGAAAGTGAAGGAAAAATGGTCAAAGACAATGTGTTGGTAGTTGGAGCTACAACAAAGCCTTGGAATTTGGACACAGAAATAGTTCGGCTATTTAAAATTGTGTAAGTATTGTTTACTATATTAGTTAGCTATATGGAATAAATAATAAATGTGGGTTCTAAAAAGCACAGGTGCATAGCATAGATTGCATAAGAGTCTCATGCTAAAAACTGTATGAAACAATTTCTTCTTTTTTGAAAAATGCAGTTTATGAGTGCTACTGACTTATTATAATGAATATAATAATTGTTTTGATTTGCAGTGAAGTGTTAGGTAGTTTTGTGATAACCTGTGATAGCATACCATTAGAAATAAATTACTGAAGCACAAGAAACTAAATTTTTAAAAACTGTATTATTTGACAGCATATATTCAATATATGCTGTCTAATACTATATTGCTAATCATTTTAAAAAATCACAATTATATTAAGGTACTGGATGACATGGATTTTTAATTAGTTCCTATTGACGGGAGATTGTATGATTATTTTAGCTGTATAAAACTAAGGAGTAGCTAGGGAGGGTGGCCACCCCTGGTGCTAACCCTAGGGGGAGCTAAATGTGGTAGGAAAAATTGATAGTAGGGCTGGGTGCCAGAATAGGTCACTATGCCTCTGTACTAAGACAAATCCAAGTATATACTATAAAACTCTTTATAGACCAGTATTTGTACCTCAGTTAAGTGTGATTGCTGACTTCCCAAGCGATTATCAATACAAGTTTATATTTTAAAAGGTTTACAATCATTATAAGAATATTTGAAATTATTTCCTATTAAACTGAATATGTATGTAACCAACTTGTAACAAAAATTCAAAATATTGACATTTGTTCAACAGAAATATTGACCTGCCTACATTACAAGACCGTATCCTCATGATTAACAGATATATTGATGGCTCAAACTTGAGGCATGACCTGAATGATGGGGATATAGTAAATATTGGACATAGAACAGCAGGTACAATTCGTTTTTTATATGGGTGTCATTGTCTGCCAAATAAAGAAATATTAAAATATAAAATGTTGGTAGGGTAGCCTATATGAATGTCTATCTTTGCTGTTTAATAATAATTGATAGAATACCAATTTATAAAATTGAACTTTTTTCTGAGCAGAAAGTTTTACAATTGCCTTCTTTATTTAAAAAAAAAAAGTGTTGAATAAATTCCGCCGAATGTTTTACGGTCAAAGAGAGGTAATCGTGAAAATAAAAATAATCAATATTGTCACGGTTGTTTCCCTTTGACCGTGTTTAGAAAAATATCCATAAAATTATTAAAATTAAAGCCTTTGAATGAATTTAATTTAAGAAATGTAAAAGTGCATTTTTGGTTGTTCCTTGTTCAAAAAATTCCAAAAAAATAATATTTCAACTTCTCTACAAATAATGCTTTAACTACATTGATTATAATAAATAGTTATCATTAGTTAGAAAACAGTATTGTTTATTTCTGTTAGGATATACAGGTGCTGATCTTCTAGTTTTTCTAAGGCAAGTCTGTATGCAAGAGCTACAACTGATAACCAAAGCACAGTTCTTTAAAAAAGTATTTATTGAGGAACAAACTGTAAGTTGTTTTAAGTAGAATACGTTTAATTTTATTAACATTCATGTTTTAAGTTAATACTAGTGAAATGATGTGAAAAAAAATATAAGTCATAACAACTTACCAAAGTCAAATACAGTTACTTGATCATGTTCGTTCTATATTCCTGAATCTAGCCAAATTTGGTGAAATCTATGTTGGTTTGGCACTTGTCTTCTAACACAGTGATACTTAACTTTGTTTGTCTTATTGATAGTGGTCTCTTGAGGGAATGTTGAGTTAATTTAATATTTATTTATTTTTGTGTACTGAAAATAATACAGAAAAATTCAGAAGAAGGTAAATACTCTAGTGCAAGAAGCTTCCTACACTTTCATATCATTATATTATCATGCTATATTTAATTTAATTTAAACAGTAAATATACCCTGAACCATGCTATATTTAATTTAATTTAATTTAAACAGTGATCATACATTGGTATTTCGTCCTCAGAATAATAAGAAGACCGAAAATAATGAACCAGATGTTTCAACATCTGAAGCCAAATTGCTTCAACATTGTTGTACCAACAACAATCACCATCAACATATGGAGTTGCCAAACACTCATGATAGTGATTGTCAGGTAATTGGTAATGAAAAATGTAACTCTTCAGTGTCTATGATAGAAAAGTATGTACCCTGTGAGTCCCATGACGAGGGGGCAGTGCAGACAACGTTCCTTGACCTGCCAGATGACCAGCTGTGGCAGGAGTTTCATTTGACCAAGAAAACATTAGATGAGACACTTTTTCTACCTTCCATAACAGAAGATTTAAAAAAACAGATGGCGATATTTTATGAGAAACTTCACTGCAGTTTTTAAGCTTTCGTGATTTTGTAACTGCTTACAAAACATACTTTATTGGATTAATTACTTGATTAATTCATTCGGATCCAAGGTATACCATAAGACTGCTGATATTTGCCTAGTGTTTACTGCCATTTTGAACAAGCCTCAGATTACTTGCCAGTGAGACCTTGTAACATTGTCAATGTGTAGCAACTATACCAACTTGGCAATATTAAAAACCTGGCATCAATTTCAATTTTAGAAACATTTCCTGTCAACATTAGCTGCTGGAAAACATTTCCAAACTGACAACATTGCAAATCTGGCAACATTGGTAAAATTGTCTCAAGTTGAAACACCAAAAACTTAAATTGCAACCCAATGTCTTTAGACCTTAGGGTTGCGTTTGAATGTAAGTAGTAAAGTGCTCTATCAGACCTGAAGGTATTGGAGGCCAGATGAAGTAGAGTGTAGAGTTTATCTGTTACTTCAACCTTACCATATTAACAGATTGTGTGGACAGTGCTACTGACTATGCCAGATACCCTTCTGGGTTGAGCCATAGACTCAGATCTGAACCTAAACCTACAGGTCAGTAATTGCATCCTCTACCCATCAACCATGCTGTACCTTTAGGTTAAATAACTATACTTTATGAGATAGTTTAAATTATCCAATTAATCAGAATTTTTGCTCATTAATCAATGTGTTTTTCTTTGGAAATTGGATAAATTACATTTTAGACTTTCCTTACTGACATATCTCTAGTTCTACTGTTTTGGTAACCTAGAATAAAATTATTTTTAATTTAAAACACCAAACGTACATACATTTACAAAGAAAATGGTTTGAAGTCAGTACGGAAAATTTACAATTTATTGTTTTTTTTTCCCAGCATGGTAGTATGTTTAAAATGTAGCATATAATTGTAATATTATTCTCTATACATGATCTATGACAATACTTATCATTGAAATATTGGACAAGAGCAACATGAAATAAAAAGTGGGCTATAGGAAATGATACAAAAAGTGATTAGACAGAGGTCAGCTTGTGGTCAGCTTCCGTTATAGATACAGTTGAGATGCAGTCCAACTTTCACTTGACTTTTAAAGTCAAGCTCGGCTGATTGCAAAAGTCAAGTCAAGTGCAGTTTAACATAGTAAGCTATGATCATGCTGTTTCATAGGGTAGTCGTAGAGGGAAAAAAAAGAGTTTGCGCTATCATGGAGATATTTTTATCAGCACTGTTTTAGCTATACATTTTACTATTCATTAATTTTTATTTTAAAAAAAAATTAAAATAGTATGAAGCTCTATAATGTTAAAAATGATTTTTTTAAAAAGCAGTTTAAGAAATAAAATAAAAACATTTTAAAAAGCATTAAAAAAAGTTTTTAAAAATTAGTTGAGAAATTAAAAAGACTTAAAATTAATGTACATATTTAAAATCTAATTTGAAGCACCTTAACTACATGTAAACTAGTTACACACTTGATAATTAAGAAAAAAAAAAGCCAGACAATATGTCTAAATAAGTTATTGTAAAATTGTGCATATTCAAGAAATGATACCTGTTTTAGAAAATTGCATATCTTTCTCAAATTTTACAAGATAAAAAAAGTTTTAAAAAAAAATCATATACAACATGCCAGATAAATTAAGTGTGATTTAAAGACAAACATAATATATTGAATCATGTAATGTTGCCTTTATAAGACATAAGATGGCAAAGAACACTGTGTGAAATATCAACATAAGATACAGGTGTAACCTAATGGACCATACTTTTTTGGAGAACATTTGTTCAGATAATTAGCTATCACAGAGTTACCCCGGTTTAAAGGCCATTTAACCACATTTCACCAATTAAATGAAAATGTATGCATGTGCAGGGAAAATTTAAAAATAAATATTTGTGTACTTTTAGCAAATAAAACAAAAACTATTAAAGATAACAGAACTAACATTTGTATAATTTATCAACTTGAATTATTTTTTTGACTGCTACAACTGGTTTTATATTAAACAGAAAATATCAAAGACTAAGAAGAGATCATGCTTTTTTAATATTTGGCACACTTTAACGCTTTGAAAGAGGAAATGCATATTAACAACTAGATTTAAATTTCCAGACATTAGACAGATACAAGCCATATTTGAATATCAAGTTTCATTTATGATTTACTTCCCAAATCATGTAAATAAAAAATTGATAGTTGAAATAACAGCTCGATTACAAACTATAGCAATAGGCAATGAGACATTTGCTATTTATAATTAATACATTTGTTTTAACATTATAATACAAACATCTAAAATCATACCAACATTGCTTCATTTATTTATAGGCAAGCTTATACCCACAAAATAATGTACACTACAAGCTAGTTTGAATGGAGACCCTCATTGTAAAATATACTTTTAATATACACAGTAGCCTTTACTAAATTTAAAAAAACAAAATAGACACCGTAAATTTCAATCACATTTTAAAACCATCAATCTTCAAATGAAATATTAGAATATTTTTCAAAGTCCTACGCCAATAATAATATTCGGGTTTTAGAATCAGCCACAAATTATTACCAGCATTAACCAATTAAAACATAATCACAATACACTTTGCCTTCTATATTTGAAATTTTGGGTGTTGCGGTTCATACCGTAGTTGAAATTTGAATACAAAAGTAGAGTGTTTAAATAAACTAACCCAATTATCTTCATTTTTCCAGCTAGTGGCATGTCTAGACAGAAATAATTCATGGCATGTTTGGACAGAAATATTTCAGTGATGGTATTATTAATTAAATAAAATAAAAGATTGTGCCAAATTATGTATTAATAACACTATAATATTAACTTAGGATAACCACTATTGTATATTAGATACAAATTTTCTTTGAAACCTTAAGTCTAATACATTTTATTGATGCACTAATTCTATGCTAGTATTTTTTTCTTCAGATTAGAAAAAAAAAAAATCACAAAAATGTTGAAATCACAGAAGACAAATCAAAAGACAATTGAGAGTACTTTTTTTTTAATATTGGACAAATTCGAATCACAATGTGCTATGTTGACTTTATCCTTCTATAAAGTTAAATAAAATGAAAAATAAAAAATACTCTAAAATTCCTCCATATTGAACACATTTACAATTTTTGCCTCAGTTATAATCTATATTATAACTATTTAAAAAATGTAAAATTGTAGAAACCTCTTTTTTATAAGTTGTAGGTAATACATTATTTATTACTGGTAAAAATAAGGGAATAGACTTTTAAGCACTTTTAACAATTAAAAACAAAATTTGTTTCTAAAATTCTACTTGATAATCACTTTCTAGTTATTTATATACCAGGCCCTCAAAAGTAAAAAAGAAAATTTTAAATATAGCTTGAAATATCAAAAGCTGAATTATTGTGGCTTTTCATTTAAAAAGAATTATAAGCTTTCTTATTAAATTACTTCTCCTTTTAATTGATTACAAGGTCTAGAAGTTATGGCATACCAAATCTCTAAGTTATAAATTTTTGGAGTTATGGCATACCATAACATCATGTCTTACTAATGCCTCAAAACTTGGGTAGCAATGAAAGAATGTATTTAATATTGAGCAATTGTTTCATTTATCAAAATATTTCTTAGGACTTACAACAGAGAGAGGGATGTCTTTCAACACAGTTAAAGGGGAATAAAAAATATTTTCATAATTCTGTGAAGTTTTCAGATGAAAATAGTTTAGATTTTTTTTTTTTAGCCAGTACTGCACATTAAAGTGAAGAGTGGAATCGTATGGAATTTGTAATTAATTAGCCATGGAATTATTTTAATATGAAAATATTCTTTCCTCTGTAGGATACTTTGAATTATTGTGGCAGGAAACAATATGGATTTAAAAATACATAATGAATTATATAATACCATAATTTAGACATCATTCATGTTTTAGGAAATTAAAAAAAAAAGTGATAAAAAATGTATGATACTTATTTACAAAAAAAGTAATGAATTATTCAATTAGTATAACAATTATTAATAACCACTGTAAAAAGGTATCACTGACACATTCAGAAATGTAATATTTATGTACACAAAAAGCAAGGGAAGATAACTCCAGAAAAGGGGGGAGGGGAACAAATGTGTGATCTACCATGATTATATTTTCATTTCAAATCACACACGAAAAAAAAAAAAAAAACTATTGCCAATGTATTAACATTAGTACATGTCAAGGAAACGCTCTCAGATAAAACTGATTCAAAAATATTTAAGTAGGCTAAGTAATGTTAATGAGATCATACTATTTTCCTCAATACAACGACCAACAGTTGAAATATGTACAATGCATATACATACAAAAATTATAACAGAATCTGGATGAGCTGTTTTGCATTACAAAAATGCATAATCAAACATTCACATGTTCATAAAGTTTATATAAAAAAATCTTTCAGACTTGGATGTAAATCAATCCGTCATGCAGGCGTATACAGAATCATCAACAGTGGTAGCGTATTCAGCACAAAAAATGGATGTCAATAAAATGAACAACAATTTTTTATTTTTATCTAAGCTGGCTCATAAGTTTATGTTTTTATTACACTGTGGGGCATTGTGGAATACAAATCTACTTTAAATTTAAATTGCTGAATATTAAAAATAAATAAATGAATTATAAAATGAATTATAAAATACATATTTGAAAATTCCCTCTTAAAAACTGAATTATCTCATTATAGAAATATATTAAAATATGTAAGGTAAAATCCTCAATTTAATTTATCTTTCAAGATTAAGAAATTACATTAATACTTTTTAGCATAAAAATAATTAGTTTTTGAAACTTGTTCTTTTATACTGAATTTTTCAGAAAGGAAGTGCTGACTGTTATTCAAATGTTTAATTAGGGATTGCTTTGTTGAATTGCTTTTTAGCGATAAAAAACCAACATTATGTAAGCAGTAAAATTTAAATTTTTATGCATTTTAGCAGGGTATTCAAAGTATTTTGTTTCGTTGTGAGAAAAAATATCTTTCTACATTTTAAAATAACTTTCTCATAGGTAAAAAAAAATCTGACAGGCCATTTACTATTTAAATAGCTGTCATTAAATTTAAGAAACTGATTACATATTCATCTACTGTAACATCTTTCTCTTTGCAAAGATTTACTTTAAAATAAACCCATGTTTATTTTATAAAATGTATCTACAAATAAGACAATTATCCCTCTTAAAAATAGAACAAAATGCAATATTTTTTTTGTTCATCTGCTTACAATTTAAACAATATGCACATTTTTTTTCTCCATATTTATTCATACATTATTTCAACATTAAAGAGCAATTATCATGATTATATTTTACTTAGAAAGAAAACAACTAAAACTACAATGATGCGCCTTGTACTTCAGATATCTGGGACACGTGTGGGAAAACAGGTTCCATTTTGATCCCGAGCTGGTCAATGTTTCTTTTGCTGTCAGTCTCCCCATGTCCGCGGCCACTGGCATTCAAAATGGACTCGGCCCGATGGTGAGCCATTGCATCCTGGTAAATGGCAAGGCTGTATGGGGGGGCCCCGAGCTTAGGGAAGACGACTCCAGATTCAGATTTCACAATGGAGGAGGGGGAGGAGACGAATGGAAGATCTAGCCTCAAGCCATGGGCGGTCTGCTGCGGATGTTGCAAGGGGAGGTGAAAGGGATAGTGTGCTGCGGATAATTTTGTGTCCTCGTACAGAAAATTTGGACCGTGGGTCTTGCTGTTGCTAGTGTTGTTGTTGTTGTTGATGTTTGTCGTCTCGTCGCTGCTTTCGTCTGAGCTGTGCTCGTCTAAGCCGTTGAGGTTGCTGGGCGACATGGATCTCCTCTGACCGGGGCTAGCGCCACCGTGGGTGGGAGACGAGGTGCCGGCTACTCCCCGAGGGCTGTGGGAGGGGGAACCTGAGTCACCATGCAGGAAGTGAGAATCATAGTTTGAAGGGGTTGAGTTATCTTCCTCATCACCATCTACAACATAGTTTGTTTTTAGGTTAATAATAAATCTTTATTTAGAATAAAAGCTTAACCTAAATAAAAACCTGAGATTTTTTTTAATGATTTAAAAGGCAATATTTTAAGGATATGAAATTCTGCTTTTAAACAAAAAACCAAAAAAAAAACAAAAAAAAACCAATTACACTACTCCATATTAGCCAGGGCAAAGCCTAGCCAGAACAGCTAATATATTTTATTATATAGATCTAACATGAATTTTAGCCAGGGCAAAGCCTAGCCAGAACAGCAAATATTTGTTCTAACATGAATTATAGCCAGGGCAAAGCCTAGCCAGAACAGCAAATATTTGTTCTAACATGAATTTTAGCCAGGGCGAAGCCTAGCCAGAACAGCAAATATTTTTATATTAGCCAGGGCGAAGCCTAGCCAGAACGGCAAATATTATTATGTAGTTCTAACATGAATCACACATTTGTGCTTAAATGAACACACCTTCAGGGAAGTTACTGCTGCCATCTCCGTACCATATCCTTCTGATATCCTGGCGCCTGTTCTTCATCAGGGCTTTGTATTCTGAGATCCTTAACTTCTTCCCATCTACTATACATGTGCGTTTAGGTCTTGGTCTGAAGAAAGTTTATATAATTGTAACTTTATATTATAAAATTATAATGCTAAAATGGCTTTAACATGTTTTAAGTAATACCTCTAAAATACTAGTAATCTTTTTTTTTTACAATTACTTTTCAGCAATGAAATAAAAGATAAAATTAAATGTTTATTTTAAATTAATATAAATAACTTATGAAAAAAATAGCCAAATATAGATCAATATTTTAAATACACCATTAAATCACAATTTGAAAAATAAAACTTTATTATAATTCTTAATTACAATTAGGCTAAGTAACATAATGTTTGAAGGTTAGTTAAGAAACAAGTTAGTTTAATATGGTTTAGTATTAATATGGATTTCTAAAAAGTTACATGTTTTTGTAAAATAAATAAAAAGATATTGAATATTACAATGCAGTCAAGAAAATAGTACAGTAAATATATTTTTGTCTTGTTTGGGAAATGAACGTTACAGGGCAATGAAGCAGGGCAAACTCTACCCAAACCATACGTTTAATTGGAGCAGATGCTAACAGGAAAAGAAAAACAACATAACGTACAAACACATGGGTCCGTTAAAAAAAACAATTTGAATTTTATGTTTACTTGTATGGCTAATAGCTTACTTGTATGGCTAATAGCTCTATTACGTGTTTATATTAAATTAAGATTCAGGTGTTGATTTTTAAAAAAAATGAAATTTAAAAAATGGGAATTTAAAAATGTGCTCTGAATTTATAAAAAAACAAAATGGTATTTAAATCTGATTGTGAATTAAACGGGTTATATAAAAACAAGTTGAAGCAAATAAAGTAGTTCTGTTACAAGTTCTATTAAAAATTAATTATAAGCAACAAACAGAGACAAAACAAAAGCAAAGCTAATGTGAATTAGAAACAGACAAAAGTTAATGAAAACACACAGGGATAAAAAAATTTTGTTATTGGGACTTCATACATTTTTTTTTTAAAAAACAGCGGAATGGTGAAACTCTGCTAATTTTATAAAGGGAATATCGGGGGAGACAGCAATAACAGATAAAGCAAGGCAAACTTGAATTTGGAGAAAACGTTGCCATTAAAAATTTTGTACCTTTCATCGGGCAAAGAGCTGGGAACGTGAAAGTTTGGGTAGAGTGCCCCGATCATTAGAGAAGGATTTTGGTGATGATGTTCCACAGGCAGTGAGAGGGCGGGGCCCATTGAGGGACCGACATCACTGCCAGGGCGGGATGGGGGCCCCTTCGTGTCAGAAAACATCTTTTTCACCTTCCCGTTTTTCCTGGGGCGTGGCCTGAGAAGCAGGGAGTATTTTGTTTTTTTTTCAATTGCTTTGTACTGCATGGATTTTCATGGCATGAAGGGGGTTAATATGTCTCTTGAAATGTTTAGGTTTTTCATAGTTTGTTAAAAAATTTATGAAAAAATTTATAAAATATAACAAAAATTGTTTTTGAAAAAAGATGTTTAAAATATAATAAATAAGAAATATCGTATTTATTATTGTTGTGTGTTATTTTATTTGTGTGATAATTTGTAAAAAAAATTTTAATCTGTGAATCAGAACTAAAATTGCATTTATTAAATCAATCAGAAATAATGGGTAAATACTGTGTTTTTGGGGGCAAGCAATAGCTTTTCAGCAAAATAAAAAACCCACTGAATTCATGTTTCCTTTTAAATTTCAAGAGCTAGTTTTAAATGGTGTGCAATTTTATAAAGCATAAGCATTGAAGTAGAAAATAACTCTTATTTTCCTAATCACAGGGTATAAAAATATCAAAAGAAAAAATTAATTAAGCTAATTGAGGTTAATAAACTTCAAAGACAAGAATGCACTGTAATTTCTACAATACCTAATCTACATTGCTAATTATTCTAGTTCTAAGCTACAAGAAATAAAAAAAAAAGTTGACCACTTTTAATGCAGATTGAACTAATGAAATATTTGGTACAAAATGATTATGAGTTTAAAGTAGTAAGCATCTACTTTTTTTTTTAACATGATGAAAAGTAAAAAAAAAATTAACGAAAGAAAAAAAAGAAAAAATGTAATAACTACCTGTAGCGATAATCTGGGTGTTTTTCCATGTGAAGCTTGCTAAGTCTGGACTGTTCTTCATAATATGGCTGTTTGTCTGCATTTGACATGCTTTTCCATTTAGCACCTGGCAAGACAATATTTATTTATTTTAATAATTTGTTAATAAACAAGTAAAATAAAAATATAATTCAATGAATATTAAATTGAAACAAACAAATAAATACATTCTTCTTTTGACTTCAAAATAAATAAAAAATAAATTATCTAGTTAACAAATTATCAAAAATATAGACAAATTAATAGACAATTATTTGAGCAAAAAAAAATCTTGTTTAAGTAATGGGTCAAGTAATTTACCTAATATTTTACTGATGTTTGAGTTGTGCATATCTGGGCAAGCTTTGAGAATCTTTCTCCTCTCTTCCCTAGCCCAAACCATAAATGCATTCATTGGACGTTTAATATGTGGACGCCCAGGGTCAGATTTCTCCCGCTGTGCTCGGATGATCTTGGCGCCAAACATTTTACCTACAGTACAGAAATTGTTTTATAATAAATATAACTAGCAAAATTAAATATTCAGGTGAAAGAAACGATCCAAATAATAATTTTTTTTTTACTAATTTAAAGAAAAATAAGTAAAACTAAATATGGTATCAATAAAATTTGAATTTTTAAAAATTGAAATGTGAATTTTAAAAAAATAAAATATAAATATTAATAATAATTAACAAAATTTAATTATTATTAATATTTATATATATTTTTAATGGAAATAAAATAACAATAATTAATTAAACGAAAGTGAATTTGAACTTTACAAAAAAGAAAAATGCTAAAAATTAAATTTAATTTTCGGAAACTTAAAGTTTTGGTCAAATATTAATCAATGTTTAACTTACTCTGTAAATGTTGAACATAGCTACTCTGATTCTCCTCCGAGGTGGCCGGCATGGGCCCAGAAGATTCTTTGTTGCCAGGCAGCTGTGCCATGGTTGGCAAGGGTGGGGCTGGGGTGGAGGCGTACATTGGAAAGTGGGAGGGTAGCCCTGGGAAGACGGGGCCCCCTGTGCCACTCATGCAGGCTACCATCTGTCTAGATATCAACTCCTGTACGTAGCCTTCCTGTGCTTGTTGGTACAAGAACTGGTCACAGAATAGATAAGAAAATAGTTAAGTTTTACAAAGGATTATCGACTTAATTTTTCTTTGTTAAAAAATTGAAACAAAAAACAAAACAAACAAATATATGATAGATTAGAAAAATATTAAAATATCATAAATAATTATCTTTATTTATTATTTTTTTTTAAATTAAATTTTTAAGCCACACCAAAAATTCTTGGGTGACTGTAAAGGGTTAATATGAAGAGTTCTTATAAAAAAGATTACAAAATACTGTAAAAAATATTCATCTTTTGTTGTTATATAAACTAAACAAAGATGTGAATCAATTATTATATAGATAAAAATTCTTTGAAAAAAAAATCTATTTTGTTTTATTTATGTAATGAAGAGAAATAAATAGTTAACCATAGATAATCTGTTTAATATAGAGAAAATGATAAGTGTAAAATAAAGAAAATGTTACAGAAATAAAGCGGAGTAATGAAATGTTTTACTCAATATCAGAGTCTGTGGAATAGTGGGATGCAGCCCTTGGTGCCATCATAACTACAGGGACCAAAAATAAAAGTTTAAAGAAAGGTTTTAAAATTGTTCTTACCTTTTCAGTGTCGGAAGGGGATGGGGCACCATTCATTCCGTGCCCGGACAAAGCTGCTAAACCTCCTAGAGGCAGATTTGGGGGCAGAGTCAGGAAAGGGTTGGTGACATACTGCGAAGGCAACCCAAAAGGGTTGTGCCTCATGGCTGCCAGAAGTGGGACCTCAGACACAGGGGTTGGTCCGGGGGTTGATGTGGAGGGGGATGGGGTACTGTGGTGAGGGGAGCGCTGGTGGGGGGAAATGTGGTTGGATTTCCCACCTTGGGATGAGATGGGGTTGGATGAAGGAGGGGTTGGCCTCTTGCTGTGGTTGGCGTGGGCAGGTGGGGGTGTGGAGGCTTCCCTTTTAACACCACGGTGGTTGTCATCTGCTGGATTACGTCCATTGTTATATCCAGATGGATGGCGTGATTTGGACTGTTGAGGAAATTACATTTTATATTATTTTTGTACTTTATTCACTAGTTTATAATAATAGTCATTTTAGTCTTTTTTTTTTTTAATTTTATATTTTTTTTTACTAATTTTTAAATTATATTTTATTCAATATTTATACAATCTATTATATTTCATTATTTAAAAATTATAATTTTAAATTAATTGTTTATTAAAAAAAAATTTACAACAAATAATATTTGAAATAAATTAACGACCACATTTAACCTTACCTCTGATTTAGGCTTGGATAAATTCAAAGGCCCGTCCTGATCAGTAGGCGTGGGAGGTGGGGAATATTTAGTTGGGTGTGGTCTAAATATAGCGCTCTCCAACTCCCTTCCATTCCACTTGGCTGGGGGGCTGGAACCACTGGCTATATTTGGGCTGGTCTGTCTCATTTCTATTGGCACTGAGGTACTGTAAGGGGCATGAGAATGGAATCAAATAATTTAAAGTTACGGAAGTCTTAAAAATGTGATAATAGCAATATTTCATTTCATATTAAAACAGATTTGCAATTAATAATAATAAATAAACAAATAAAAGCTATATATATATATATATATATATATATATATATATATATATATATATATATATATATATGTATGTATGTTTGTATATTAATGTATATATATAGTTTTAGTTGGGCAAAAAATTATTTATCTTACCCATAAGCAGCATAAGGAAAGGGTGAAATGCCTAATTGAGGGGAATCACTCTGGTGATGGCTATTGGCGCTAGATCCTAGAACTAGATTTCTGGAGTTGTGAGCCGGGCTGTCTGGTGAACTCTTCGACAGTGATTTATTTCCTGAGAAGAAAAAAAAAGAAAATTCAGATAAAATTGCATTTCAATCTATGGGAGCTAACTGAACTGACCCGGTTGGTAAAATAAATTTCTTGGTTATTGCCCTTTACTAGTAAGTGAACGTTTTGAAGGTGTTTTCCTACGTTAACTTAAATCTTTTTTTTTTCTAACTTAAGAGAAGAGTCTAGTTTTTTTTCTTTAATGTGTGTACGTATTGCCTTTTGTATTGAAAACTAGACCATGATATTATAATTATCATATCACACCAGCGACATTGAACAAACAGACAAATCGAGATAACAATCAACTTTACGCGGACGTGATAGAAAGAAATAATTCAAAAATGGTATACAAGTACATACATATTCGGCTTAGCTTTAAGCTTAAGGTTAGAGTTATCGTTGTTACTTTAAATACTAACGGAGTTCGTTTATACGAAAAGTGACATAGAAAGTATTACATCACTAATCAGGTAAAGAACATAAAAAAGAACACGTAAAAGAACATACAGTAGTGCCCAGCAAGTAGTCATAAAAAAAGACATAAAAGTAGAAACTAACAGATAAAGAATCATTTTCCTTTGACAGTTTTAGACGTTGCAGGCTAATTGTACACGTACAACAATGAACCGCAAACATTCAAATAAACGCGCCCCCTCTTTTCATAATAAAGGCGCCCATCCTTTAGCAAACCTATTTTTAAAAATGCCACACATACTTAACAAAAGGGGGCAGGTTTTACACTAGATAGTACCAGATAGCAGAATTTTTATTCAAGCTCAACTTTTTAAACAAATAAACCGGCAGGAAATGTATGCACACAAAAGATACGCTACCTGTATGGGTGGGTGTATATTTAAGACCCACCCATTATGTAAAGACGTTCAGGGCCCTTTTTTATTTATAATTCTTAACCTGTTTGCTTTGAATGACGTAGTGAGATGTTACTCTGTATGACGCTTTATAAACTGCACCAAACCCCCCCCCCCCCATAGTTTCTAAACTGCACCCCAACCCCCCCCCCCCCCCATAGTTTCTGAAAATAAATCATGAACTTATCTCATTCACCCGTATCCCCCCACCCTTTCCTTTCTTCCCCCCCCCCCCCCCGCCTCCGTACGTATTTAACTAGCACTTTGTATGCATGAAAACTACACCTTTAAAAATAACCTGCTATTGTGTTGTAAGTTGGAAATGTATTGTGTTGGTGTATAGGGGCAGTAACTCCGGGGACTACACGGCTGACTTAACCAACATCCGCTAGAATATATGCAGACAAAGGCCTCATTCTTTGATTTAGCGTACACGTTAACTTTAGAACAGAATTCAAATTACACTTGCGCAGTATTCAACATTTGAGGCGTTAGTAACAGTAAACATCTAAATATTCACAATCTTATAACAATTTTAAAAATCATACCGATGAAACTAAAATTACAAAAATTAATCACAAAATAAATTTACGGCTTAGACCTACCTATTACATTGAAGCTAAACTATTCACAAAATATGTTTGTTGATCAATTAAAAAAACAAACATTTGTAGTATTTCCCTGTTTTTAAACTCACAATCACAGATATAGTTTTAAAATCCGATAATGTATTGTAATCCCACTTTTCAATCATGAGAAATGCAATCAAAATATTAAATTCATTCAATAATGGTTCCGGTTGACTAATCCTGGTCCGGTTGACTAAACCGGGAGCCGGTTCCATTACCAAAACCGGCAGCCGGTTCCAACTGACGCAACCGGGGGCCGGTTATAATTTATATAATTGACAAAACCGGCTACCGGTTCCAACTGACCGAACCGGCAGCCGGTTCCATTGCTGAAACCGGCAGCCGGTTATAAATGACAAAACCAGCAGCCGGTTCCGGTTGAGTAAACCCGACAGAATTGCAGACACCGAATTTGCGCCCCGCCCCCTTTTAATTAATTGAATCATTTTCCGACGCTTTATCTCGTCCGTGTTTGATTGAAGGGGTGTTGTGCCGACACACCTCGCTACACACCGAGTCGCCGTGTTATTGTCGTGCTCAGTGGTGTAACAACGACGTACACACTCAACCACAACAACAACCGCGTTGATTCTATCTCTCTCTCTCTCTCTACTTCAGCTGTAGTTAGACTCGTTTTTTTTAAAATATAATTTTATTATTGCATAATTTCACACACAAAACTGCCGTGTATGATTACTAATAGATCTAGATTCTAATTTTATTTATACTTAATACCACGATGCCCATGAGTTCGACACAATTAAGTGCGTCATAAATAATAATTAAGAGAGACCTACTAATCTAATACAACAAATCCGTATTTTTTTTAAAAATTAAATAAATTGAATCGTAGGCATACTGGTCGGACTAGTCTCCTCCTAAGTAATTAAGAACAATCAGATCTTTATAATTAATAGAAGGACTAATTTTAATTTAGTATAGAAAAAAAAACGGTTCCTTTTTACAAGTGCCAAGAACGGCCGTGAATGGATTTCAATGAAACACTAATCATGATAGATCTAATAATAATTAAAAGATCTAGGCCCCTATATAGTAGTTTATAGCCTACAATGTGTGAATATAAATCAAATATACAGATCTAGGCCTATTTAATTTGAAGACTGATATGTATTGTTAAACACGGTTTAAGGATACACCTTTTTCGTCAATAAAAATACATGCATAGATCTAGATTCTAGATCCACCAACTTTTTTTTTTTTTTTTATCATTTTAAAAAGCAAAAAAAAAAAAAAAATATATAAAAAATAAAACATTGCCAAGATCTCGGATGTTTAATTCCTAATTTGAAAATTCAACCATCAGAATTAATAATGAAATAAAATATATAGATCTAGATCTATAGCCTAACAATTATATTACTAACTATTATTAATACTAGATCTACGCTCTATTTTAAATAGTCTAATGCCGTTAATTGCCGTTAATGAACTAATGACTAGTCTTGTAATGACGTTTGGGTCATACGTTGAATGTTATTTATAAAAGAAAAGTTTAGTCTAGGAATATGTATTAATTAAAATATTTAACAAATGATAATTTCATAATTTTAATTGATTGATTATGATTAACAGAAATCTAGATCTAGATATCTAGATTCTAGACTAGACAAAGAATTCTAGATCAACACAAATGAAATTAAATATTATGCCGCTTCTTCTTGGTCTGTTAACATAATAGATCTAGAAGAGATCTAGATCTAGAATCTAGATCTTAGCTGTAAAAGTATCCTAAAGTCTAGATAAGAAATAAAAATAAGCTAGCGTGAATTTAGTTTTATGAAAATTTTTAAAATTTACACATTTTATCACGAATGCATGTTTTTCAAGCTTATGTATTATGTAAACAAGCGGTTAAAAATAAACTCAAGTCCACAAACAAAAACAAAACAAACCATAATTAAATACAATTAATCTTACCCGAAGAAAAATCACACGGCAGAAATCAAACAAGCAGTGTAAAGATATCCACGAATTATACCACAAAGTAAACTATTAAATAAAAATGTACTCAAGTCCAAAACAACAATATTTCATTAAAACAGTAGCCGAGTCTCGACTGCGCGTACTACACAGAAGACTGAGCGCAATGTGAACACACGATAAAAAAATAAAAACAGCGACCGATTCACGAGCTAGAAAAGGGGGAGTGTCGCTATTTCACCAAACTCCAACAGTTGAGCGAGTCCGCCATGCGTGGCTCAGATTTTCCCCCCTTCGCCCTCTCCCACTCCTTACCTATTTCCCCCCACCACTCCGCTTTTTCTTTTCTTCCCCCCCCCACAACAGAAGCCAAATAACAAGAAACGGTGGCGCTTGAAGCTAACAGTTCGCCTTGACGCTAACTTCGCTCCTTGCGCGTAGAGTAACTTCCCTTCCCGCGAGGTAAGCGCGCGCTTGACAGACGAGGCTGGCTGTGTGTTATTTCCCCCCACTCTCGTCGCGAGGAGTGGAAATAGATATAAAAAAGTAAAGGGACGGAGGGGGTGGTGAAGACTTGCTGGACACGAAAATAGGCGGGGCGTAGCTAAAGGGTGAATAAAATAATAATAATAATTATAATTACAGAACAATAGGGTTGGAGAGTAATAATTTAACGGTATTCCGCGGGACTAGGGAAAGGGTAGGAGCGAGGTTAGCGATAATGAAGGAGATCAATTGGATGACTAACTGAAGTTGGCTAATATAATCGTTGTGAGTAAATGGCATTGTGTCGCTAATACGAGGGATATTCGCTAAAGGTTAGGGGAAAAAAATACAATAAATAACATACATTATTAAACGTGAGAACTGCTAGGCGGTCTAGATTGGGGACTTTTATTGTTTTCTTAAAACAATCATAATTCGGTGGGGTTTTTAAAAAAATGATTTTTTTTCTAAACTTGTAAATAGAAAGATAACAAGACTTTCTTTCGGATTTAGCCTTACTATTTGTAAGTTTTATTTTTTTGTTTCTTATTGGATAATAACCTTAACCAGGACACTGTATAGACCGACTTAATCCATGTAATTTAATGAGCATTATTTTAATCTTCATATTCTTTTCCTATTTTGTACCCAAGACGCTTGGGGCAGATGAAGTAGAGTTCATCTGTTTTAATGACAGCACTACCACCATTCGCCTTTGTTTCCCACCAGATATAGGTGGACCAAGGGATTTCCTACAAGACACATGGGGGCAGATGAAGTAGAGTTCATCTGTTTCAATGGCAACAGTATCACCAGTTACCTTTGTTTACTAACAGATATAGTTGGACTCAGGGATGTCCTACAAGACACATGGAGCAGATGAAGTAGAGTTCATCTGTTTCAATGAAAGCACAACCGCCATTCGCCCTCGTTTCCCGCCATAGAGAAAGTTGGACTTAGGGACGTCCTACAGACTCGAGGCTTTGGGTTAGCAGTCCAGCTCTCTGCCGTTCCTTGTCTTAATAGGTAATTATAACTCTAGCTTGAAACACAAATTTAAACAATAATCCAAACTA